GCTAGTCCTCCCACTGATACCAATGATGGGGCACTATTCCTCCCACTGATACCAATGATGGGGCACTATTCCTCCCACTGACACCAATGGCGGGACACTATTCCTCCCACTGATACCAACGATGGGACACACTATTCCTCCTCCCACTGACCATCAGTGATGGGATGGGACACTATTCCTCCCACTGATACCAACGATGGGGACACTATTCCTCCCACTGATACCAATGATGGGGTGCTAGTCCTCCCACTGATACCAATGATGGGGCACTATTCCTCCCACTGCAAAATTACAGTTCTGAAGTAGCAACGAAAATAATTTTATGGTTTGGGGGTCACCACAACATGAGGAACTGTATTAAGGGGTCGCGGCGTTAGAAAGGTTGAGAACCACTGATGTATAGTGTAGTTTTTAATGAGTATAAAAATTGTTACATTAAAAACAAGCGTTAAACATCTTCCATATGGAAAATCAAACAAACAATTGCTGGTTGATTACCAGGCTCAAGTATGCAGATTTGGGCTTCCTCCCCTCTTCTATCCCTCCTCCAGAAAGCTCTCAGGTTCCTGGAGAGGTGGGAGGGCTCCAGAAGCTCTGACCTTCAGAACCTCCCTAGCCTGTCCTGAGGTAACCTCTCTACCTCACTTCCAGGCTGCTACTCAGCCTCTGCCTGGAACAAACTGCTATCTGGCTAACCTGGAGTGCATTACACCCCATATTTGGCCTGTTTACTGGGGATGTACTGTTTAGTGCCCAGCCTTCCAGTGAAATGCACGAGGGACACATCGACACAAATATTTCTGTCAGTAGTAAACAATTCTGAAAAATTATTTGGAAAAACAAATTGATGAGTGGCCGAATTTTGAACAGCTTGTCACAAGCAGGATGATTTCAAGGAGGGCACAGGGAATTATCATTGAAGTGTAAAAATCTCATGGTCATCTCATCGCATGATCTGGGCATATTAGAAGAGTAGACTGGCATGTGATGTATGGGGTGAGTGGATCAGTAGGCATGAACTTAATTTTTTTATGTCAGTCCCATATTCAATGCAAGTCCAAGAAAAACTTTAAATTCTTGCACCGTTACAGGTTTCCACATAAGTGGACAAGCATAGGATAAAGTTGGATTGCTGGCAACAAATTGTCTGGCATAAAGATTGCACTGGTTCACAATAAAATTATCTGAGGGCCTGGCTGCACTGTAAAAGGGAGGATTGTAGGTTCTGCCAAATTAGAGGGTAGCCATACAGGATTTAAAAGAACGTCTGGGAGGCCAGTATGGGCCCTACTTCTTTGCAGTGGATGTGACACCCTGCTCCTAGTACCTGGCCTATCATCTGGGAGTACTGCACTGCTTGTGCTTGCCACTTCACTAGGATTTATAGTGCTACTGATGGTTGCCTGCTCCTCCTCAAATCGCTTGAATCTCTTTGTTGGGACCCTCTCTTCAGAATCCGTCACTGACCCACTCCTTTCAACTGGCTTATATTTAAAATCTGAGTCCGACAGTGAGAGTTCCCTGCTACTCTTATCCGTCATACTCAGTATCTGGAATGCCTGGAGTATTTTTTAGACATGGCGTTCAGATGTTGATGCTGCACTGCTGATACTATGACAGATGTTGATGCTGCACTGGTGACACTGCAACAGATGTTGATGCACACTAGTACATTGTGACAGATGTTGATGCACACTAGTACATTGTGACAGATGTTGATGTGTACTGGGAACAGATAGTGCACTGGCTGGGTGATCAGTGTGTGTATGCAGTGCAGGCCCGAACAGGCCGTAGGGCACACCGGGGCCACCTAAATAGGAGAGGCGGAAGGTGGCACATAGAAGACCATGCATTTCTCTGTTCCTCTATGTTCCACCTGGCTGCCTCTCCTATCCATCTCCTGTAGGCTGCATGACCTGAGCTCCTGTATGCTCTTCCCACAGCGGCCCCCCCTCATCCCCCAGAGCACTGCGGGGATCTGTCAGCATATGCTGTCCCCAGTACTGACAGTCCCCCCCCTCCACAGATGGGAGAAGAGAGAGAAAAGCTGCCCCTCCTCCTCTTCCTCTCCCCCTGTGTCTGCCCCGCCCACACTCCCAACCAGCCTTATGTCTTCTCTCCCCCCTTCTTCTTTCTTTCCCTTCTTTCCTTCCTACAATAAAATGTAAAAAAAAATAATAAAACATAAAATTGTAAAAAATTAAATAAAAACCTACTGACACTAGTGGCAGAGCTATCAGGGTTGCAAAGGTTGCTTTTGTGACCTGGCCCTGGGCACCACCACCGGGCTCAGAGGAAAGGGTCCCTGGGCTTTGGGCTGCTCAGTACAATTGCCCAGGCCTATTTTTTGGCCCAGTCAGGGACTGATGCACTGTAAAATTGCGTAAAACTCACTGATCCCAGCTGCTAGGCACAAATCTGCTCTCCTTTTCCTTCCTTGCAGTCTCTGTGTGAGTAGAAGCAGAGACAATCAACTGACAGTCTGATTTGTTTACATTACGTGATGGCTGTGATTGGACACAGCCATCATGTGATCAGAAGCGCCAATCAGAGGGCCCATCTTCTGCTCAGCTATGTGCTGTGTCTAGGGGACACAGGCACCATAAGAGCATGCAGTTGCACAGCCACAGAGCTGGAGCACATGTAGGCTTATCTTCCCAGAACAGCGCGTGTCCCACCCAAGTGTTTATGTGCAGTGGCTGGATGCAAAGTGGTTAAGGATTGTGTGCACAAAGATTTTTCCATATGTTAGACTATGCATTCCTGTTGATGCTGCCATCTTTGCTGGGTTTCATAGCTTTTGGCCAAGATGAATGTTAATATCAGAGTTCTACAGAGGAATTTTTTTACCTCAGCACCTTGTGCCTATAATGGAGAAATTTTACAGTGCCTTGAAAAGGAATTCATACCCCTTGAAATTGTCACTTGTGACATCATTGCTTACTACGTGTAAAATCTGTGAATGATCACAGAGGTCACATGGTACAAGGCTATTCACAACAGCCTTGTACCATGTGACAAGCTGTGACCAATCACAGCTCACTCAGTAGTTATCAATGGCTTCAAGAATGCAGACAGAGAGAAAGAGAAATGATTGCTTTTACATCCTATATGGGTGTAAAAGCAATCAGTGTAAAAAAAAAAAACCATGGTGACACTGTACTGCTAGGTTGACAGTATGTAAAAAAAAAAAAAAATAAAATAATAATATAAAAAAAAAAAAAAAAATGTAAAAAAAAAAAAGAAGTTTAAAAATTATAATTGTTGGTTATAAACTAATTTGGCTTATTTTTTTATTTACTAAAAAGATAACGGAATAAATTGTGGCCAAGATTTATGATGAAATATTATTTATTTGCAAAATTTTATAAGAAAAACACTTTTTTTTTTTTCAAAATTTTTGGACATTTTTATTTACATAGCAAAAAAAATTAAAATCCCAGCGGTGAATAAATACCACCAAAATAAAGTTTTATCTGTCTCAAAAAAATGGTAAAAAATTCATATGGGTACAGTGTTGCATGACCGCGCAATTGTCATTCAAAGTGTGATAGCGCTGAAAGCTGAAAATTGCCCTGGTCAGGAAGGGGGTAAAAGTGTCCGGACTGGAAGTGGTTAAAGCAGTGTTAGGTTATAAAAAATATCCCAAGCTTTGAACATCTCACGGAGCACCATTCACTCCATCATCCAAAAATGGAAAGAGTATAGCACCACTGCAAACCTACCAAGACATGGCTGTCCTCCCAAACTGACAGGCCGGGCAAGGGGAGCATTAATCAGAGAAGCAGCCAAGAGGCCCATGGGAACTCTGGAGGAGCTGCAGATATCCACAGCTCAGGTGGGAGACTCTGTCCACAGGACAACTACTAGGCATGCACTCGACAAATCTGGCCTTTATGGAAGAGTGGCAAGAAGAAAGCCATTGTTGAAAGAAAGCCATAAGTCATGTGAGGGACACAGCAAACATGTGGAAGAAGGTATTCTGGTCAGATGAGACCAAAATTGAACTTTGGCTGAAAAGCAAAACACTATGGGGTTTAATTACTAAATCTGGTTCACTCAGAATCTTGTGCACTTCTGCATAGAAACCAATCAGCTTACAGGTGTTATTGCTGAAGCTTAATTGAACAAGCTGCGGTTAGAAGCTGATTGGCTACCATGCACTGGTGCACAAGATTCTGAGTGAACCAGCTTTAGTAAAGAAACCCATATGTGTGGTGGAAAGCTAACACTGTACATCACCCTGAACATATCATCCCCACCATGAAACATGGTGGTGACAGCATTGTGTTGTGGGGATGCTTTTCTTCAGCAGGGACAGGGAAGCTGGTCAGAGTTGATAGAAAGATGGATGGAGCCAAATACAAGGCAATCTTAGAAGAAAAGCTGTTAGAGTCTGCAAAAGACTTGAGACTGGGGCAGAGGTTCACCTTCCAGCAGGACAACGACCCTAAACATACAGCCAGAGCTACAATGGAATATTTTAGATCAAAGCATATTCATGTGCTAGAATGGCCCAGTCAAAGTCCAGACCTAAATCCAATTGAAAATCTGTGGCAAGACTCGAAAATTGCTGTTAACAGACGCTCTCCATCCAATCTGACAGAGTTTGAGCTATTTTGCAAAGAAGAATGAGCAAAAAATGTCACTCTCTAGTTGTGGAAAGCTGGTAGAGACGTCCCCAAAAAGACTTGCCACTGTAATTGCAGTAAAAGGTGGTTCTACAAAGTACTGACTCAAGGGGGCTGAATACAAATGCATGCCACACTTTTCAGATATTTATTTGTAAAAAATGTAAAAACCTTTTATAATTTTCCTTCCACTTCACAATTATGTGCCACTTTGTGTTGGTCTATCACATCAAATCCCAATAAAATACATTTACTTTTTTGGTTGTAATATGACAAAATGTGAAACATTTCACGGGGTATGAATACTTTTTCAAGGAATTGTATGTTTAAATGTTTGGCCTTTTTTAATTACTCACTTTTTTTTTTTAGACACCCACTCACACCCATGGGAAGGTCGCTATAAAGCAGAAGAGGGTGACCAAGAGAAAAGATTTCCCTCTCTGGAGATGACTGTCAGAACCAAATGGGAAGGAGCAGCTATTAACTGGAATGGAACTGTACCATTTTTCTAAAGGCAACCTGAAAGTTAAGAATCCACTGAATATAGAATGAAAGTCAGCTACAGTATTCATTAAAGTCATTCTGCATAATGCCAATCAGTTGAAAATTTAAATTTATGTATTATTATGCATTTTGTAGAATACTTATTACTGTCGAAGAATATTTACTACAAAGCTGAATTAACATGAAAACTGGATCCATGCTGTAATTAATTTTTTTTAATGTTTTATTAAAACAGCCATCCAAAGAATCATGTGGCTGGGCCCTTTTATCTTTATCATTATGTTAATTAATGCAAGAAAATGATAAAAAATAGAAAAGACATAACCATGCTTTTCCTTGAGCATCTCCATAAGACCTCCACAGAAATTTCAAACAAGTAGTGGTGAACTACAGTCTACAGACATCTTTTAAGGTAGTGGTTCTATAGGTTAAGTTATCACGTCTATTATGACTGCACTTAACAATAAACATCTAAAAGGAGAACTGCCTCAGGCAGTTACAAGGCAACCAGATATACCCAGGGCCGTGGATAAGCGGGTACCACCAGTCCTCCTGTACGGGGTCCAGACTAGCAGGGGGGCCCAGGCAGCAGGGTGAATCTGGTGTGGGCAGGGAGGGTGATTGACATGGTGGGGTGGCAATTACTGGAACCGATCCCCTGTATGGCTCTCTTCTGCAGCAGCTGAAAACTGGCTTCTTCTCCTCTCCCTCTTGCTGGCAGCTGCTGCAGAGAGAGCCCTACAGGGGATCTGTTCCAGTAATTGTTCCACACCCATCACCCTCCCTGTGCACCATACGTTTCCCCCTGCTGCCCAGGCCCCCCTGTGTGCCTCCACCCCCACAGTGCTACCACCTTCCCTCCTCTACTTTCCACTGCAGCTGCAAGCGCACAAGAGGATCCTTAAGGATAGAGAGTGTAGGAAGGGCACAGTAAATATGTCACATTTACCAGCTCCTTTTGTTTCCTGAATAAACACAATAGGTGATTGGTACTGATCACTCACTGTGCTCATTCATAAATAAAGCATAGTAAACTGTGTTTTTTAAGGGGGGGCTGTCAGGTTGGCTGTATGGGACCATGTAGTTTCTATTAGCAGCCCTGGATATACCCCTTGATCTTGTCAGGAACTTTGTGAGCTAAGTTCCTGTGCTTTCTATCTTTGCTGAACTTTTATTAGTTGGAAATGCACCCAGCTCTCTTTGGACTACTAAACAGCACCCTATATTATGGAGAAGAGGAAAGTGTGAAATGTTCTGTTGCCCTGTCCTTGGGGGACAATGCTACTTTTTATACATGTGGGCTGGGGCTGGTTTCACTAGTTGTAAACCCATGGGGTTCTTGGGCAATGCCAGGCAGTGGGTGGTGTCACTCGCCCTGCACATTGGGTACCATCTGTGTGTGTACACACTCACCAATGCCTGGGACTTGGCAGAGGCTGTGTTCAGGTGAAATCAACCCCCTACTTAGAGATGAGGTGTACACTATGTGTAGTAATGCAATTTACAGAGTTCCTCTGTGAAATGCTGTGGCCCATGACACTGCACACCTTGCTGTAACTGTTGCATTTAGGAATAACACTTCTGATCCATCTTCTGAGCCATCTCCAGGTCCAGCGTATCTCTCCCACCTCACTCCCAGTGACAGAACTGGGTCATGTCGAGCACCTGCGCAGACCTCATGCATGCTCTTCAATACTTCCCACTCTCTCCTGTAACCATGCGGCTCAGCTGGGGTCTCTGTATCGCGGGTTCAGTCCCGGTTGCTATGAGAAACTGACCACTTGGGAGGAAGCCAGAACATCCGGGTTAGAATCTCCTTAAATTGTTCCTTTATTATGAAAGGTAAGTAATTTCAAAAGGTAGAAAAGGAAGGGTAGGTTGTTGATATTAGGGGCATAATAGCTTAGGATGGTATCTTTGGCTCCCTGTAAGAGCACATATCTACCTTGTGGACAGCAGTGTATTCAAGGCAAACAAGGCATTTGCCTAGGGCGGCAATTATTAGGGGGCGGCACCGCCCCCCCAAAAGAAGGGACCTGGTGAGCAGCGGCGGACTGACCCATGCAGGACCGCCAATCAGAGGGGTACCACTGGTAGTCCTGTAGGGGGCACGGACAGCAGGAGGAACGAGTGGTGGGGAAGGTCAGTTGCAGAATGATGCACTGTGTATCACTCCCTCCAGTAGCTGAAAGCCGGTTTCTCCCCTCTCCCTCTCGACAGACCTGTCTGGATCAGGGGGTGAGTGGCTGCTCTCTGATGAGCTCTTTCCCCTGCCCGCACTCAGAGCTGGGACACCAGAGGAACGCCTGGAGCAGGGAGTGGAGAAGTGGCGGAGAGGAAAGAGCCAGGAGGAGGTGCGCTGTGTTGTGCTCTCTGGGCTCTCCCTCCTGTCAGAACAACATTCATCCATGCAGCACATGAGACAGGATCACTGATATATAATATGGGACTGTACACACACAATATGATTACCACACCCTACCCACATTTCCTGCTGCTCAGAGATGAGCAGCCCTTGGAGGAGGTGCTAATCATACTGTGTGTGTACAATCTCATCCTGTCTCGTGCTGCATAGATTTAAAACTGTTCTGACAGGAGGGAGAGCCTGTAGAACACAACACAGCATACCTCCTCCTGGCTCTTTTCTCTCCACCTTTTCTAGGAAGTGTAATGGGGATTTGGGGGGGTGGTATTTCCTAGAAGGAGAAGTGGGGGTAATATGTGCTAGTAGGAGGGTTCGGGGGATTTGTGCTTGGAGGGGGATTGGAGGATGTGTGCTAAGAGGGGGGAATGCTGACAAACACTGATTGCCACTTTAAAATTGAACAATTTCCAATTCATAGATAACACTGTTCAACAGGTAAAAAGTTTTGGGCATAAAATTAGCTAATCTTACATAATTTTGGGGTGCTGAAAACGAAAATGACCCTAAAAAATGTTGATTGGCTCTAGTTTCCATGATATATTCACCCATCTAATGACGTAAGCCATTCAAAATTATGATGCAACTTCAGCTGCATATTGCGCAATTGATACTGGTGACCAATAGAAAATTGCATGTATACTGAGATGATGCAATATTAGCCTTTAATTGCATCACTTCACTGCATAAAAGCTGCAGTATCTGTAGCTGATTGTAGTTCGACAGCGTCTTTACATTTCGTTTTATGCTTATATAGGCTACTCAGTAATGCCTCGAACTTGTGTGAATAAAGCAGATAATTTCTGCTATATCTGCGGTGAAATAACTTTTATCTCACAAAAAAGGAGGATAACAGGAATGATTAAGAAAGCCTACAACTTGTATTTTGGCTGCAAGATAGGAGACCAGGACAAGAGCTGGGCACCACATATATGCTGCAATTCTTGTGGGACGGCACTGGAGCAATGGTTGAATGGAAAAAAGGCATCTATGCCTTTCGCTGTGCCAATGATTTGGAGAGAGCCAACAGATCATGTTAGTAATTGTTACTTTTGTATGGTGCCTCCAATTGTAAAAGGGCTAAATAAGAAGAAAAAGTTATCTGTGCACTATCCAAATATTCCATCGGCAATACGTCCAGTTCCTCATGGAGAGGGGCTACCAATTCCTAAAGCACCAGAATCCTTCGTGGTTGAGTCAAGTGAGGAAGAACCTGAAGCGTGTAGTCACGTGCAGTTGTAAGAGATAGCCCTTTCCTCGAATACAAGAGAAAAGCCAAGAGAAGCAAAACCGACACAAACTGAAGACAAAACTAGTGAGAATCCTAAGTATTAAAATGATTCAACTTAGCTTATGGCTATAATTTTTCTTGGTAATCCTATGCAATATATTATGCCATTTAGGCTTTGTTATGTAGTCAATATCACTTGCTTTATATTTGTGGAAAGACATCTATCTATATAATTATTGTGCATTATGTAGTCATTACGCCTATAGTAGAAAACTTTCCAGTTACAGAAAAACTAGAGCCAATTGACAAATTTCATTGTTATATTTGAACTCAGAATGTGAAATTCATTAAGAAATGGATCCTTTTGTTTCCAAAGCTGGCAAAAAATAAAAATTTGTTGAACAGTGTAATCATTGATATATATATACTGTATAATCATTGAAATGTATATAATCATGAGAGAGAGAGTTCAATGATCAGGTATACCTGAGGATCATATCTTTAAGAGATTGATGGATAGGAAAAGCCCTACTGTTACGTTCCTGCAGACCTCTATACATCTAATCTTATGTCAACAGGATCGATTGCGCATCCTCAATCTGCTCAGAGAAATAAATAGCTTTTAAAAGTTTCTTCTACCCAAAAATGGAAATCTAGCTGCACCAATCCCACTAGTATCTTCCATCTCTGAACCTGACAACCTTTCAGAGGACTGAGCTGAATTATCTCCCTCCTCCAGATCTGTGGGTGCCTGAGAGCTCACAGTTTCAAGCTCTAGGAGCGGTGAGATAACATTTTTCAGTTTACTTAGGGCTCTTTCACACTGGCATTCATTTTAAAGCAGCCTAAAAGTGTGTTAATGCGCATTTTAGATGTGTTGAACAGGCCTTCATGTTATGTCAGGCAACACTTCTCAAACTCCCTGTTTTTTTTCTTCAAGGCTAAAATGGGAAATTATTACTTTTGATACTTTGCAACTGCACCGTAAATGCACTGTAAACACCATAGGCATGTTTACAGTATGTTTAAGGTACAGCTGTGGTGCGTTTAAATAGAAGTGAATGGAGGCACTTGCAAAGCGTCAACGTCTGTTAATCTCTGTTAGCAGTGTCATTTTTTTCTCGCTGCAATGAAAAGCAATGCTAACATTGCATTGTGAACAGCGCCATCCGCTCTCTCTTGTAACAACTGAGTCGCATTGATAGGCGTTCGGGAAGCATTAAAGATGCAACCCAACCACCTATTTTCTATGCCTGTGTGAAAAAGCCATAAATTTACCTTGAGGGACAGACTTCCATGTGGGGGGCCCTAGACCTTATATACTGTAAGAGACCTAAAGGGTTTAAAGAATGAAA